TCTGTGTGTGTGTGTGTGTGTGTGTGTTGTGTTGTGTTGTGTTGTGTTTTCAGGACGTAACCAAAGAGGCATGATGGACCTGCTGAGGATCGCCGTGTCTTTTCACATTCTTCTCTGTCCTGCATGGACCCGGCACTCTAACTTAGGCAGCATCTTCCCAGTCCATGCGGGTAAATATCGAGCATATGTTGCAGAATGGTTTCAGGTTGCGTAAAAAAAGAAGCGTTTCCCCTGCAGGGACCCTGAAGGTTATCCACCCTCCTTGTTTTTGTTTTTCTCCTCCCCAGTTTTCGGGTTTCTGGACGTTCCGAAGACATTCGACCCCTGTTGTCTCATGTCACCTCCGCCGCCGCCGCTCTTCCCTCCTCCACCTCAGCTTTGGAGACGAGCGACCCCCGTGAGTCGGCGTCCTCTTCCGTTTGTTTGTTCCAACTTGACTGAAACCCAAATGTCTTTGGGTTTTGTTTGCACACAGGATTTGGAACCAACCGTTTTTCAAGGCAAAATGGAGGAAAAAACAAAAACCACGAGCCAGGAGTGTTTATTTGGACCTCCAGGACCTCCTGGACCAATGGGCCCAGAGGTGAGGCCTCACTTCAGAATGTCATTTTCCCTTCTGTAAACTTTTCAGTCTGATTCAATCATGATGGATTGGGATAAAGATAAACAATCCTTTTAGTATTGAGCTCTCTCTAAAAATGTCCRGTGTTTGATATGCGTCGTACCAGCTAAATAAATAAATGTGTCATTTTTCAGGGTCAACGTGGATTACCTGGTCTAAAAGGACCAAAAGGGGAAAAGGTGTGTGCTTTTGTGAATTATCTCTGTTTACTGTTAAAGGATTTGTCCGTGTGCTCTAACGACATGTCTTCTTGCTCCATTTGTACCCCTCCAGGGAGAAATCGGACGCCCCGGGTCAAAGGTGACCTCCCCAGTCCTGCATGCCTCCTCTGCACCCTTCATTCGTTCTCAGTCTCTGTGATCTGATTATATCCATTGATGTGCTCAGAATACCCCCCACAGCTGCTACATTAGCCTCGGTGGTCTCTGTAAATCACCATCCCTAAAAGCCAAAACCTCTCCCATCTTCTTCACCTCTCCATCACTCCCCTCCTCTTCTTCTCTGCTCATTTTCCCGCACTCTCCAGCTCTCTTTGGCACCGTCTCATTATCCTCCAGCACTGAACCCGAGTCCTGCTGATCTAGGCTATCCACCGGCGCTGCACTTGTACATTTTAATCTCCCTAAGTGCTTCTGCTTGTCGCGATAAATCACTCCATACACACAGTGGATCCACTGCGCCTCCACAGGCTGTGGGTTTTAATCACGTCCCGTTAGCATGGCGGGCAGCTCCGTAAAACGGCTTCAGGTGTAAACGAGATGTGAGGCCGTGCTTTGGCCGTTGTGCTGGCAGAGATCTGACAAGCCGGGGAATGGTGAAAATAGTTTCTGTGTTCAGTGTTAGAGGCTCTGCTGAGGGTCTGAAAGTCAGAGCACTTGTACGATTTAATAAGAAAAATAAATGTGCTGATAGTTTTGATTGAAAACTGATGTTTGCTAATGGTTCTGTTCCCGCAGGGTCGCCCCGGTGCTCCAGGCCTTCCTGGAAAACCAGGATTTCCAGGGCTGCCTGGTCCAGAAGGAACTCAGGTCGGTGCCACAGTCTCTCTCTTCACACWGTATTTTTAGTGGAATGATGAGACAACATACAACTTCAATGATTTTTAAATACAAATACTGGGAGCAAAAAATAAATTTATTGTATTTTTTRTCTTGAAATATATGTAAGGGTTGTTGCTTTGTTTTGATCCACACAGGATCAAAATTAGAGGCTCATATAATAGAAAGTCTTAACTTGACATGGCCAAAGCCTATTGAATTCTTGTTAGTGGTCATAATTAGCTACAGCTGGTAGTTTTTCTTTGACAACATAAAAAGGATTTGTTTGACAGCACTCATTGGACTGACCAGCAGTGGTGGGCACAGTTCCCCTAAAGCACTAAAGCACTAATAGGGAAACTAATTTCCTGATTAGTACTTTAGGGCTTTTGCTCATTTTTAATTTTATTACTGGATTAACACTTAGACTAAATTTAGAAGCACTAACTGAGGTCTATAAATGTTATCSATCAACGTTAATGTTAACAGTTGAGGATGAAAGCTGTTGCACATTTTGTTCATATGTGTCACTTATCCACCAGGTGACAATATATGAACACAAATACAGCTGTGAAATATCAACGATAAGTCTTAAGAGAGCAGTGCATTAGTGCTTTAGAATTAGGAGACCTAAATGTTTCAGTTAGTGTTTTAGGGCTAATTAGTGTTTTTAGATTAGTGCTGCCCACCACTGCTGACCAGTACTGAAATTAATAGGAAAGTCCATGGAATGAAGGGAAAATCTAAAAGGGATTGTTGTAATTTTACACAAATAGGGAAGAGATTTTGATGCAGCTTCGAAATGATTTCAGATTCGAAGATCACCCTTTTAAAGGGATCCACGATTAGTTGTACCATTAAACTTTATTTGATAAACGTTTATTTTAATTGTAAAATAAAGACTGTAAAAATACTGTAGGCTGTTTAGTTCTGTAAATTTTTTAAAAATATATTTTAACACGGACGGAGCCATTTTATTTACA